ATGGGCAACCCTGGCTAAGGTGTGGGGTGAGGCTTAGTGGTATAGTGTTTAGAATGTTGGGATAGGATCTGGGAGACCCAGGTTGAAATCCCCACTCTGCCATAGAAGGTTGCCAGGTGACCTTGGGCCAGTCATACTGTCTCAGCCTGACCTACCTCACAGGGTTGTTGTGAGGACAAAGCAAAGGAGGGGAGGATGTTGTAAGTCACTTTGGGTCTCCTATGCGGGGAAAAGTGGGGTGTCAATGAAATAAATGATATATATGTGTGTGTGTTGTGGTAGACCAGGTGGATTTGGGGTTATGTCACCCGTCTGCATCACTTTGGGTGGCTTTGGGACCAAATCCATGTTTGTGAAGCATGCTCCCCCTGCAATGTCAATTTGTATTCTTCCCTGTTCTCCATTTGTAGGAGGGTGTTTGGGATTTAATGGCAAGCTTCCCTTCTTTTTGTACTGAGGTGTGCCTTGCACGCGAAAGCTCATACCTTCAATAAACCTTTGTTGGTCTTAAAGGTGCCAGTGGACTCTAAATTTGTTCTTAAATTCTTTGTTTGTGTTCTCTGACACTTTACCAAAGTTTTAAAACAGTTGGATAGAATGAAAGGTGAATGTTTACTCCGCCAAAGAAAAATATGATAAAAATTAATACTAAAGAGGAAAACTGGAAATTACCTCCTAAATAATACTTTACCAGAAAGATAATCCTCATAAAAGTGTTTGTACATGGAGGAATATGGAAAGACACGTAACCAGCCAAATAAAAATGGTCAGTGGTCAGTAAATACAAAAGGAATGTTTTATTTTGTTTAGTTGTACTGTTTCTCTCTTTTTAGTTTGTATTTTTGTTTTGCAGTTTAAACTTTTAGACTGCCTTATGAACAGCTTTCTCTGTTTGATAAATATTGCACATAAATAACCCGCTTCCCACCCAGTCTGACTTCCTCACCAGGTTATTGTGAGGATGAAACTGGGGAAAACCCTGCTTGGGCCATTCTGAGCTGCTGGAGGGGAAGGGCAGGATACCAATCTGATTACATAAATTTTCCAGAAATCGACATCCTTTCCCAGGAGTTTGGTTCCCTGCATTCTGTCTCTGAGCCGTTCCTTTGAAGGTTGGGGCTGCGGGGCCTGGAAGTCAAGCTGTGCAGCACAAACTTGGATGGTTTATGGGGCTGGAATCTGCTGAGTGCATCTTGCATTGATTCAGGATCCAGTGTTTGAGCCTTTTCCTTTGGGGCATTGCTGTACTTTGGGACGTCTTAAATCTGTCTGGCAAAGGTACTTGGACAGGATATTAGTATTTGCCAAGGTAATGGCTTCAGAGTCCCTTTCGCTCCCTTGCCTCTGAAGTGAGATAGCCAGGTGTGCTTCCTGGGACAAAGAACGGGCCTCTGCCAAGGACAGTGTCTGCCATCCTCAGGAGGAGGATCTATAGGACAGGTGGGAGAGCTCCAAACCACAACATGCTAATAGAGTGGCCACCTTGCAAGCACAGGAGGAAAGGCAAGCCCAGTTTGTAACCCCAGGGGTTGGGCGGGCATTCTAGCTGGGAATGACCTGGAAAGGCTTGTCTTGGATGCACAGCCAGTTCAGCACCCTCATCCCCCACTTTGCAAAGAGAGCTCCTTGCTCCAGGCTAGGGCTTTGGCAGGGCTCTTCCAAGCAGAAGGCCCTTAGGCATAGCTGATAACGTGGTCCCGGATACTCTTCCCGCAAAACCAGATCGGCACCCCCAGTTTCCACATTTCTATCTGTGTAACTGCCCAGTCTTCGAGGCTTAGCACCACAAGCCTTTCCTTGTTAAAATGAAATCTTCATAATGAAGCTGCAGATCAGTTCATTAACCCCCATGCCTGTGGAGATGTCTTGTTCCAAAGATCCTTAGCGTGTAGACATCTAGTCTGGTTCTCACGTGCCAGAGAGTGGGGAGGCAGAATGGATTTATGCCACTTCGAGCACAAATTACACCATGATGGTTCTCCTCTCCTCCATTTTGTCTCACAGTAACCACCCTGTGAGCTGCATGCACATGAAATGGCCTTATATTGTATCAGACCATTAGTCCATCAAGGTTGGTATTGTCCACTCTGACAGGCAACAACTCTCCAGGTTCCTAGGCAGAGGTCTTTCACATTACTTCCCCTTTTAACTGGAGATGGTGAGGATTGAACCTAGGGCCTTCTGTGTGCAAAGCAGTAAGCAGATGTTCCTACCACTGAGCCAGAGCCCCACCTAGAAAGAGAGTAACTGGCCCAAGGCCATCCAATGAACACCCATGCTATAGTAGGAATTCGAACCTGAGTGGGTCTCCCTTTTCTAGTGTGGTGTGCTATGCACCTTCAGTCCATTCTACGACCTTGGATCTTTGTCCCTCATTTTCCTTGCTTTGCTTGTGATCCTGAGATGGGATCTGAATTTATCCAAGCTCAGACTAATCTGAATTTATCCAAGCTCATAATGGAGTCCATAGATCCCTCCCCCCAAAAAAACTGGTTTTTTCTTTAAATGGCTGAATCAGTTGTCTTAAATACATGATGTTCTCCCAAGTTTCCATTCAGACATCTGCGATAGTTTCTTGAGGGTTAGGAGCAGTTCCCTCTAGCCCTCAGCCAAGCCCATGGCATTTGGGTATCTGGGCTCCAGATAATCTCAGTTGATCTTGGGTGATACATTGCTTTTGGCACCAATCTTGGCTGTGACAGTCATAAATACTGAATCAGTCGGGCCAGAAGTAGGGGCATCCTCTGTGAAGGAAGACAGGATTCTTTGCTTGGTTAGCAAAGTTCTCGTTTCCTTTCCTTGGGGTTAGGAGCCAGCAGTTGATACAAGGAAGGAGGAGAAGGGAAAAAACCTGACAGATGAGACTGGCTTCTCAATTCCAGCCACCCTGGTCCCCTGGGCAAATATGATCAGATAGTGAAATTGAAGAAATGAGGTGGTGTTTTTTTTTACAAAAATTGTAAATTGGGGAGGGAGGTTGGAGTGGGGGGGGGGGTTGGTGTGCCACTACCAATAGGTAAACAGACTAGTGGAATGTTTTTTGAAATAATAAGCTAAGAACTGCAAGCAAGAGAGATGGGGGGGTTGCCATAAGATCTTTTTAGTGCATCTTTTTTTCTATATCCAGTAGGCATAATGGCTTCTGAACTTCCTTCCCAGACTTTAATGTTGTAGATGCAGGTTTGAATCCTGCTTCAGCCTCTGTGAGGGAGAGGGTGGTTGTGCCTTTGGGGCCTGGGGTTCAGTAGTACAGCAGATGCTTGATATGCAAGATTTTTAAGCATTGCCACTATGGTTAAGGGGTGTCAGCAGCAGCTACTGGAAAGATGTTGTTCACAAACAGGAGTACAACAAAGTTAGAGTCCAATGGCACCTTTAAGACCAACAAAGTTTTATTCAAGGTGTGAGCTTTCAGGTACACGCACACTGTCAAATGATGAAATGGAATTACATATCATAGTTGTATATACAGGCAGGGCTATTTTTGGGCAGGGACGCACAGGAACGGAGTTCCGGCTGGCTCCTGAGTTGGCCACGCCCAGCAGGAGCTCATTAGCATAACAGGCCACACCCAACAGCAGAAACACATTAGGATTGGCTACATTAGGGGTGTGTGGCCTAACATGCAAAGGAGTTCCTGCTACAAAAAAACCCCAGGGTTTTGACAACAAACAAGGTAAACAGAATAAGAAGCAAAAGGTGGGTGTGGCTGGATGACCACACTTCTGGTAACATGTGGGTATGGCCTAATATGCTAATGAGCTGTACTATCGGGTGTGGCCTAATATGCTAATGAGTTTCTGCTGTTGGGTATGGCTTATTATGCTAATGAGTTCCTGCTGGGCTTTTTCTACAAAAAAGCCCTGTTACAGGGGTATCTTGTTAAATTAGCATGCACAATTGTGAAGTTTTTTTTTAACAGATCAGGTGAGTGACAAGCTGGGTTTCTAGTTATCATCTGTTTGGGTTCAACTGGGGGGGAAAACAAGATAGGTAATAAATATGTCAGAACTGGAGATTGACGTGCCCTAAATTGTGAGAATTTAGAAACCCAGCTTGTCACTCTTTTGATCTGTTAAAAAAATACCTTCACTATTTTGCATGCTAATTTAACAAGACACCCCTGTATATACAACTATGATATGTAATTCCATTTCATCATCTGACGAAGTATGCATGCACATGAAAGCTCACACACTCAGAGGTCATTTCAGGGGGGATCGCAGTTCCCCCGGGTGAGGTACGGGGGGCGGGG